CAGGTGAAATTTGCACTTCTCATAACAGCTGGATAAAATCTGCTGCTGCCAAGCAAGGATCAAGTGGTTGACATAGAGTTATGTCGAGCAACCTTGACCAGAAAACGTTTTCCACGAATGGGCTATGGGAACATGGTTGGGGGCTTTTCATGGTGTACAAGTCAGTCAACATTGCCAGACATGAAACCGGATTGCAAAAGCTCCAAAGAATAGCCAGGCAACACTTTGCAAGTTGCTCGACTCTTCAGCCCAATTCCAGATTTGCAAATTTCTAAAGAAAAAAAAAAAGTGTTATATTCACAGAATCATTAGTGATAAAGGAAGCAATTCAAACCATTGCTCCAGCACCAATTCTAACACAGTTCCAATCTCCTGCCTTCCCCCATCCCCAATATCCCTGCAAAATGTTTCTATCCAAACCCAGGAGTTTGGTCATTTCTCTCTCCAATTGCAACAAAACCTACAGGTATTGTTTAAGACTTAGATTTCCAGAAGCCACAGTATTTTGCTTGAATTAAATACTCTCTATTGCCTCAAGCCGTCAACTTAATCATTATAATACATTATCAAATTGCCATAGTCTTACCAGACCATAAGGCTGCTCTGTGAGGACTGGTGATTTAACCCAATGGTCACCATGCCTCAGGGAAGGAGAGGTTGAGAAGGAGAGTCCTTCATGGAAACCTCTGTTGGTGATGGGAATTGAACCCCATGCTGTTGGCTTCACAAAACCATCCAGCCAACTGCAATACACCAAGCGCTACAAAGCATTCTCTGCAGCCATGTACAGGTCCATTTTACATGGACACTCCAGTTGGGCTAAGTCCAACAGCAACAAAACCTACACATTTACAAATATTTAGACATCGATTTCTCTCTATTAGAGAACGTACAGCAATATCAGCAGCGTGCATTATTCAGATAGCCTGGGGTGACACTTTAGAATCTCAAGGCTGAATTTTGGTTCTTTTTGCCTCCCACAAGAAGAAAAAGGGAAAGCTTCAAAGCAAAATACTGGTGATCAACCACACAGATTAAACTGAATGTCAAGGGACCGCAAAGAGCATCATTTCATCTCACATCTAAGCTACTGTCAATAAGGAGCACCTCTCCCCCTCCAATGCTCAATACAAAAACAAAAACAAAACAGGTAGCTTACATCTGGAGCACCAAGTCAAAAATAACCCAGCCTTCATTTAGTTAGCATTAACTGGAGTTCATGGTGCAGCTGTTTTAACAAGCTCCAGACAAACTGTGATCCACCTGACAAAAAAAAGCCATCAAATCTGGAAGTTATAGTTGCTACCTGCAAAACAACCCTTTGTGGTTTCTAATTAAAATTAGCTAGGGGGAGCAGAATGGACTAAAAACAGCTTTACACCTCTTCAGGACTCAGTCTGCAACTTGCCATTCCTTTGAGAGCACTCCATTACAAAGAGGGGTTTGAGACACTGCACCAAGAATATTTTCAGTCAGATCTGATGCTTCAGTCTGGCAGAGAAATCCTCATCAGCCAAGCTAGATGAACACTCAAAAGCAGTCCTGCCGATTTTAAAGGGTACATTCTGGGCTCAAGGGCCACAGTTGACGGGTATGGATCAGATTAGTCTCCACATTGTCCATTCTAGTGGACTCAGCATTTAGAAACAATAACATGGTGAAGGATTGATAGGAAAGGAAAAGCTACGCCAATCCCAACTGTGGATGTTCAAGACCAAAATATCAAATATTGATATTTATGGGAATAATGGATAGGATCTTTTAGTTTATTTTCACTGTGTCCTATTCTAGGCCAGAACCCCATCTACATGCACTTAGCCCAAATTTAATACTACCCACAAGTGTGTGGATAGTAAGGGTTGAATGAGTGTTTTGGTATATTCTCCACCATCACCTCAAAATCCAATCTCTCGCCGCATAAAAAGCTTCCTCAGGAGGCCAAGGAAATTCAACATGTCCACAAAGACCACTACCAATGTTTATAGATACACCACAGAAAGCATCCTCTCTGGATGCATCACAGCTTGGTATGGTAACTGCTCTGCCCAGGGTGGTAAGAGACCACAGAGTTGTGAACACAGCCCAGACCAACACAAGCCAACCTTCCAGCCATGGACTCCATCTATACTTCTTGCTGCCTCTGAAAGGCAGCCATCATAGACTTCTCCCACCCCGATTATAATCTCTTCCAACCTCTTCCATCAGGCAGAAGATACAGAAGCTTAAGCATGTATACCAACAGATTCAAGTACACAGTTTCTTCCCTGCTGTTATCAGACCTTCTGAATGGACCTCAAATTTTACATTTAAACGTTGACCTCGCTCTTTGTGCGCCTTCTCTGCAGCTGTAACATTGTATTCCTTGCTCTGTTCTATTACCCTAATGCACTTTGTATGGTATGATCTGCCTGTACTGGACACAAAACAAAAAACTTTTCACTGTATCTAGGTACACATGACAATAAAGCAAATCAAAAAGACATTTCCACAACTAGGTGACAGAAACTTGTGAGCTTTGCAAAGTGTGAATAGTTTTTGAGCAAATTACTTATAAATACTGACCGACAGGAAGCTAGACTGCAGTTGGACTCAAAACAGCCAAAATAAAAATCAATATGAAACTGCTCTCTCTCCCTTCACATCAACCCCTACTCAGACAGACAGACAGTCACTGACATCTGCAGTTATGGCAGAAGTTCCAAATTGGAACTCAAATTACACACTTCTTGGCATTCAAACCAAAAAAAAGTCATGATTAAATGGAATGTCAGGTCAAGAAGTAGTTATGGAATTAGCAAAGTCTAGCTGAATGCTTACAACATTAGTAAAAATTTAGCTGCAGCAGCAAATACTTTGTATTGTTGCTGCCTTTCCAAATTAAAAAAAAAGGGAAGGGATACATCAAACATGGAACTAGGATTGCCACAGAATCAGAATCCCTACAGTGTGGAAGCAGGTCATTTGACCCAGAGTCCACAGCAACCTGAAAGACATTAACCCAGACACACCCCCACTCTCTGAAACCCTACATTTCCCATGGCTAACCCACCCAGCCTGCACATCCCTGGACACCATGTACAATTTAGCATGGCCAATCCACCTTGACCTACACATCTTTGGACTGTGGGAGGAAACACAAGCACCTGGAGGAAATCCACACAGACACAGGGAGAACATGCAAACTCCACACAGTAGTCAGAGACTGGAATCGAACCCAGGTCCCTGGCGCTGAGAGACAGCAGTGCTAACCACTGAGCCACCGTGGCATATTTAAAAGGTAGACTCAAATTGTGAAGTTCCAGGAATTTTGAAAAGCAGCCAGATCTTGGAGCTTGCTTTAGGCCATAAGGGTCACCTGCACACATTTTCCTCTCTAACTATTTAGAAACTCAGATAGTAGGGAGAGAAGCAGGGGAAGGGAGGAACATACAAGGTCATGCAGATGAAGTGAAGCAGTGTCCCTGACGTTGTGCTGTGAACCTTACGTGGACACTGCCAGATCGCACCCTTCAAGGTGCTAAACAGTTCTTGTTTAAACATATAGTTTTCGTCAGCTCCGATGCAGAGTTGTCTAGACCCAAAACATCAGCTCTCTCCACGGATGCTGCCTGACCTGCTGTGATCTCCAGCATTTGTCATTTTCAGTTCAGATTCCAGCATCTGTAATAATTTTGTTCCTACATATAGTTATACCCAGTGTATCTTGGAAAGCACACTAGAGAGCTAACACCATTTGTCTTTCAAATGGAGATTTACACGTTCAGGGATTTGAATCTTTGCTTGGCTAGCCCTTAACTTGTTTTGGTCTGCGCACAATAGTCTGAAAACATGAATATCAGTGCAGTAGAATGATCCTTAAAAAGAAGTGGCTGAAGTTTAACACTGCATGGGACATGCATGTCAGCAGATTTAAAAGCAGTTTTGATGTCCAAGAGATTGCAGTCAATTCATTCCTATCATCTCGACTACTCATCCAAAAACTTTTTTGTGCTAAATTGCGCCAACATTTCTGAGGTATCTGATTCGCTCCAAGGTAGGTTTACAGAAAAAGTAAAAAAAAACTTAAAGTTAAAAATATTTAGTAACCAAATTTAATATAGTTTTGCTTTTGAAAAGCAGACAGGAAACAGCTTGGAAATGCTCATTTTTTTTCCCCCCCTTATCCCTGAAAAGGGAAGGAATGAGTCTGAATTGCATTCCAATGCACTAGGACATTTCATTTGTTTAGGGAAAAAAACACCTACCTTGGTTTGTGCATCCAAACAGAGCATTTATTTCCTAATGTAACACAAGTAACACTGGAATAATGTTTCTATCCTTACTGTTCGGACGAAGAGGGCTACAATGTCTGGGTACTACCCTGTGGTATGTATACCTCTGTACAAAGTTCAACTTGGAGTGAGTTTTTGCCATGGAGAAGCCATTTTTAATTAGACTTTAATAAACAGGACAGAAAAAGGGACTAAAAGGTAGCTCTTGCCTGTCCTTCAACACAGCGTCAAATAGAGCAACGTACCGCTGCACACAAAAAGTAAACAATTAAGTACAACGCATTCACGTTTAAAGAAAATCTAGGTTTTACTTACTGAATTCGTCTAATAATCCATTCTTGCTTGAAGTTATCCTGCACAACCACAAGCCTTTGACCCCTGAAAACAAGGTGTGTCTAATTCATTCTAGACTAGTTACAGCACCATTTACTGACCCTAGATCCAAAATGAAAGTAGTGTGTGTGTGTGTGATCCATGCAAAAAAATCTGTCTCAATGCAGTAAGGATTGGCGATGCGGCAGTCGATTGGATAGGGCCTGTGTATTAGTAAGAAAACTGTGGCTGATCAGGTACAAAAACAAAAAAAAGGAGAGAGAGAGAGAGAGAGAGAGAAAGAGTTGTTTCGTGAGCAGAACAAAAAAAAAATAACTGGACTCAAAGGAAGAAATCGGGACCTGTGCAGAGAGGTGCTGGGAGTGCTCGGTTGCTGACACAGCTACCGTTAGTTACCTGAGCGTGAAGTGCAGCAGCTGCTGCAGCAGCAGGGTAGGTGAACGCAGTATGTGGAATGGCAGGGGTCAGTTCTGTTGTGTACAGTGGATAAGGAGCCCAGGCCTCTGGAGATGCAGGGATTAGTGCTGTTCCCGCGAGGTCGTCTGAAACACAAAAAGAACAGAGTCGCACATTTAGTCCAGTCAACCTTGGAAGGGAAGAAAGCCACAAAAGCGTCAGCAACACATCAGAACGCCAGCGAGATGCAAAAAAAAACGCACGCAGAGTTCAAGCCCAGGCAGGTAACTCGACTTGGTCAGGAGATCCACGATGCAGAGGAAAGGCCCTGTTGCCAGTCAAAAACAACCTAACTATTCTAATCCCAGAGACAGTGGGAACTGCTGATGCTGGAGAATCTGAGATAACAAGGTGTAGAGCTGGATGAACACAGCAGGCCAAGCAGCATCAGAGGAGCAGGAAGGCTGACGTTTTTGGCCCATACTGTTGGTGCCTTGACATAAACGTGTAGTTTCCCCTCCCCCCCAATTCATTTGTGGGATAAGGGTGTCGTTGGCTAGGCCAGCATTTATTGAACATCCCCAGTGGCCCTCTGGGCCAGCATTTACTGCCCATTGGGCAAATGCTAGCCTAGCCAGCAACACCCTCATCCCATTAATGAGAATGGGAAATGTAAGTAATTCTTCAATGATACAAGGGTTTGTGTCTCTACCATCCTTACAGGCGCAGAGTTCCAGATTTTCACCACCCTCCAGTGAAAACATTTTGTTCTTGCATCCCCACTTAACCCATCGCTCCTCACTTGATAACTAGCTTGATTTATTCCGTTGACTTGTGGAAGTTTATAACAAATTACTAACAGGCAACAAGAGCACAACCTGTATTCACGAGTTATTGGAAACCAGGTTTACATTTTTACATGGGTCTCTCCTCCCTAGAATATACCAAGATATAAACTGTCTCAACCGAAAACCACCCAGTGTGTGTTTTGGGTTTCCATCAGATGGAACTGTCTGAATTTAAAAAAAACGGCTTCCATCATTTTGAATCCAGATGTTATGGAACTAAATACATGGAGAGATCATCATGTGCAAGGTAAAGCAAAGGCTTCAATACATCCAACAGCCTTTACAAAAGAGAATTTCAGCACAGGAATAGGTGCCAATCATGTCCTCACTAAAAACTTAACAAACTTTTTGCCCTTATTTGGTCCGTATCCCTCTGTTCCCTCCCTATTCATGTAACCATCCAGAAGCTTCTATAAACATCACCACCACCTCTGGCAGTGCGTTCCAGGCTCCTATCACACTCTGCATTAAAAAAAAACAACTTTCCTTGCACATCTCCCTTAAAAACTTTCACCTTGAACCTGTGTCCCCTTGTAATTGAAACTTCAACCCTGGGAAAGTGCCTCTGACTATCCACCCTATCTATGCCTCTCAGATTTGTAGACCTCTATCAGGTCCCCTCTCAGCCGCTGTCTTTTCAGTGAAAAGAATCCTAGCCTTTTTAACCTTTCCTCATAGCTAACGCCCTAGAGACCGGGCCACATTCTGATGAACCTTCTCTGCACTCTCTCCAAAGCTTACATGTCCTTTGGCAACCAAAACAGCACACAATAACTTAGGTTTTTTTTGTTGATGTTCAAGCCAAAGCTCACAAAAAGATGGACATATTTGAAAATACAGGTTAATTCCAGTTTTCTTGAAAGTTCATCTTCTTAGTAACCAATCCTATATGCTCATGGTACCATAGCCACACAAATGGAAGGCAACTAGGACAAGAACATTCACATTCAACATTTGGTTCATAGTTAGTCCCATACTTATGGCCCACATGTACAAAGCAAAAGCATTTTCTGTACATCACTGCCAAACTAATTCAAACAATAGGTTAATATTAGCATTCTGAAGAAGGGTCACTGGATTCAAATGTTAACTGCTTATCTCTCCACAGATGATGCCAGACCTGCTGAGCTTTTCCAGCAATTTGTTTGTTTCCCTGATTTCCAGCATCCATCATTCTTCCGGTTTTTTGTTTGAGAGTTTCTCCAGCGATTTGTAACAGAAGAACATTCCCCATCTTCGGTTTAAAATAGCTCATCTGATTAACGTCATTCAAATTGACTTAACGCTTCTCAAAAAGGCCACCATGGTTAGTTTTACCAACACGATTTTACAGATTAAAAAGGTAAACTTTTCCTTAATGACTACGCAAGTACCAATTCAGATCTGATGAAGCACAATCTTAGTATCAGTTGTCTCCATTAATTGGAACAGGTGGGAGATGTAGGAATATCAGGTTGGCAAATATTTGGAGTTTGTGCCAATATAGTGCTAACCGGCTGTTAGTGTACCAGGTTTAAAGTTAGCTTCTTGGTTTGTAATTTCCTACAGTACATCCGTAGTTCACCAGAAATATCAGGAAGTGTTGTATCAGAGTTTGCAGCCAACTTCAATCTCGAGAGCAGCTGAACACCAGAAATGCAAGGAGAGACTTTTGCTCAGGGATCAGGACCTGGATGTCCAATGCATGTTAAGATCAGTCACAGAATAATAGATCTTACAGTGCAGAGAGAGTCCATTTGGCCCATCGAGTCTGTGCCAAGTGTCCAAAGAGATCCCCCGCACAAATGCGGTCCACTACCTAATCCCCACACCCCTGCATTTCCCATGGCTAACCCACCTAGCCTGCACATCCCTGGACACTATGGGCAATTTAGCATGGCCAATCCACCCTAACCTGCAGTGTGGGAGGAAACCAGAGCACTTGGAGGAAACCCATGCAGACATGGGGAGAACATGCAAACTCCACACAGACAGACAGAGTTGCCCTAGGGTGGAATTGAACCTGGGTCCCCGGCTCTGAGGCAGCAGTACTAACCACAGCCACCGTGCTGCCCAAGCCTGGGGCTTGATGGGATTTTGGACGAGCAAGCCAAATTAATGACGAGTGCACGCACTTCCCATCCAATGGTTTCTAGGCAGAATGGCAACAGGAGCTCCTCAGTCACAGAATGGTTGGCAGTACCACACACATATGCAGTCATTGATGTAGCTAGGAACGAGAGAGGACAATCGCCAGAGAGATTCGCTCTGTCATAGTAGGCTGAAAACTCTGGAGGGGCAGCTGCACCACTATACAGTACAAGCTAGGACTATCTCAGGAGATAGTAGGAACTGCCGATGCTGGAGTCTGAGATAACAAGGTGTGGAGCTGGAGGAACACAGCAGGCCAAGCAGCATCACAGGAGCAGGAAGGCTGACGTTTCTGAAGAAGGGTCCCGACCCGAAACGTCAGCTTTCCTGCTCCTCTGATGCTGCCTGGCCTGCTGTGTTCATCCAGCTCTACACCTTGTTATTTATAGCTAGGACGATGATAGGTTTCCTGGCAGGATCAGCACTACAGACCATCACTGGGAGGACTCCCAGTCAATCAACACATCCTTCTAGAAAATGGGTATGTTGAGTCACTGCCAATGATACCTTTGTTTTGTGTAATGGCTTCATCCTTAGCACCCCAACATAAATCAAAATGATAGAACATTCTTATGCAAGGCAGACCTGGGTGCCTCATCCACCACATCAGTAGCTGTGCAAATGCCTGTCGCGGGTCAGGCAGGGAGAGACAGACATAGTCAGTAAGATGAGGGAAGCAGCGAGGGTGGTCAGCCCACCAGGGAGAGCGCCAGCAACAAAAGGTGCACTAATGTCGAGATCCAGTACAATATGGGTGCATAACAATCTCACCAATGGCATTGATTTGGTGTTCAAGTGCGATGGCAAAGATACTCTTCATCAGAAATCCAACCCAAAGTAAACCTTGCTGCCTATACCCAGGTTCTTCAATAGGTTATTAATCCTACCAAATAAGGGCAGCAAAGCCAGTCTTTTGATTTAGAAGGGATAGGAGGAGGAAAAGTCAGACTGTTAGGTTAATTTAGATAGCAATGGATTAAACTTCAGTCACAAGAAATCAAACATGCTGAACATGAAGACAAATACAAAATGGAATCTACAACTGGTGGGTAATATGCTTTCCTATTGCCCATTAAGAATGCTGATTAATTCAAATCTAGGGAGTAAAAAGAATAATCACTTCAGGCCTAGCTGGGGGTGGGGGTGGAAGCTCTTCCATTCAGTTCTAAATTGCTGTGCTATTTGATTGAATACGAGTTGATTGAACACGTGAAAGCTGACACCCTACAGCAGCCACGAATGTGACCCAACTGGAACACTTACCCCACATACAAATCAGTTCCTGGCTGATTAGCCCCTGGTTCTTTAGCCAACAGAAACGTATATTATCCATATGCTTAAAGTGCAAAGTTGACCTTTCTCATCGAATTGTTTAAAAACAATTCATTCAGTTTTAACATTATTCTTGTTGCTTTAACCCAATTAGCAATTAGAGACTTACTCAAAAGCAAGTGCAGAATTGCTGGAAGCACCCAAGATCACAATTAGCAACAATCCATATGCTAAGAGAACCTGGCTTCAAGTCCTGTTCTGCACGGTTAAAACATCTTCCCCATGGGAAATGCAAATTTTTCTCTTAAAAGCAAGACTCTTGTCTTAATTACTTCAGTACATCTAGCTGGATGGTCACTTAGCACGGTGTACAATTCTCTCTGGCCATATGGTCAACATTGTCTGGGGTCAGCAGCGCTTCGAACAACCGAGTGCTTTAGAGAGAGGCAATGCTTTCTGGCAGAGGCTTGGGAAATAAATCGTTATTGCACATGACGATAGCATTATAGTTGGCCATTTCCACAATACAGATCATAAAATTAATGCTTTAACTCTCCCAAGAAACAATCCATCAAGTACAGAGATGGAATGTAGGTATTGTTAGAAGTAAATCTAGGGAGGAATGGTGAGTATGCTTACACTTGACACCAAAATTGGATGTGTACTGGGCAGCAAAGGCAGTTATCTCAGAGCACAATGGGACTTTGATCAGATGGAGTTTAATTTAGATAAATGTGACTTACTGAATTTTGGAAAGGCAAATCAGGGCAGGACTCATACACTTAATGGTAAGGTCCTGGGGAGTGTTGCTGAATAAAGGTGACCCTGGGGTGCAGGTTCACAGTTCCTTGAACATGGAATCACAGTTAGACGGGATAGTGAAGGCAACATTTGGTACGCTTCCTTCATTGGTCAGTGTACTGAGTACAGGAGTTGGGAGGTCATGTTGTGGCTGTACAGGACGTTGGTTAGGCCAACATTGGAATACTGCGTGCAACTCTGGTCTCCCAACTATGGGAAAGATGTTAAAAACTTCAAGAAGTTCAGAAAAGATTTACAAGGCTGTTGCTAGGGTTGGATGGTTAGAGCTACAGGGAGGGGCTGTATAGGCTAGGACTATTTTCCCTAGAGCATTGGAGACTGAGGGGCGACCTTATAAAGGTTTATAAAATCACGTGGAACATGGATAGGGGAGTCCAAAACTAGAGGGCAAAGATTTAAGTTGAGGGGGGAAAGGTTTAAAAGGGACCCCGGGGCAACTTTTTCCAGAGAGGGTGGTGCGTGTATGGAATGAGCTGCCAGAGGAAGTGGAGGAGGCTGGTACAATTACAGCATTTAAAGAGGCATCTGGATGGGGTTCGTGAATAGGAAGGGTTTTAAGAGGGATATGGGCCAAATGCTGGAAAAATGGGACTAGGTCAGTTCAGGATAGCTGGTTTGTATCGAAGAGTTGGACCATGCTGTACAACTTTAAGTGACATGGAATGAATAGGAATAAGCTCTAAAATGACATGTCCTGTGACAAAGGAGGTTTCCATTTAAGGACTGTTGAAGTGGTCAGATGACCAGTTCAAAGTGACACTTTCAGCTATTCTAGAGCATATACACAGTGCTTGAGCGAAGGGCACCACCTTCAGACGGAAGAATTGGAGGTTTGGGTGGGGAGGTGCAGGGTGGGTGGGGGGTGGGGGTGGTGTGGAGGAGGGAGTTTTGAACTAAGAGCACCCAGTCCACCACAACAGAAGCGCACCTCTCAGCCACATGTGGGGTGGTACTGACTGGCCTTGGAGGAATCCGTGATCAGCATCCCATCCTAGCGGCTGGAGGAAGCGTGGTGGTGGGACACAGCAGTGGGGACCTAAAAAAAGGGTGGAAAAAAGATGAACGTGCCTTAAAATTTCCCTGCTGCGATACCAACAAATCGATGTAATGCATCACTGATTAATGCCGCACAAGTTGCTCTCTGCAATGCTTCAACTGGAATTGCAAAGGCATTCCTCATGGTTTCGTTATTGGATTGCTCAATGCAAGTATTTAAACACAGACTGGAGAGTCACCTTGATGCCACACGATAAAGAAAGAGTTAGTACTTACAAGGGTCCCGGGCAATGAAGTGTGCTCCCAAGGCAGGGTGCATATTCGTGGGGTTAGGTGTAGCCATCAGCTTGCTTTTGGCCATCTTTGTGTTCGCCTTTGCAAATTCCAACCGGAGAGTTTGCGGATTTTCGGGATCAAATCGAATGCCCTACAGGAAGGGAACAAAGTACAGCATCTCAAACAATGTCACAAAACCTTCCAAACCCAAAAAAGGAATTTAGCTGAAGATCAGAGTTTTACAGTTCAAATCCATGATATGGAAGTGCGGGTGTTGGACTGGGGTGGACAAAGTCAGAAGACACACAGCACCAGGTTATAGACCATCAGGTTTATTTGAAATCACAGGCTTGCAAAGCGCTGCTCCTTCGCCTGACAAAGGAGCAGCACTCCAAAAGCTCAAGAGTTCAAATCCAGATCAGGAGTTGGAAAGTTAGCCACATGCCTGTTGAAGACACAAAAAACTGATCTTGTAAAAAGTTTAATCTTACCATAGAATATTCTTTTTCTCAAAAAAGGTTGAATATTACCTGCAGCATTTCAGACAGCGCATTCTAAAAGCCACTAAAGCAGGAAGTTAAATAGATTACTATTTAATTTGATTACTCAAGAGGATTAGGAAGTTATGTACCACATCTGGTGCAGAGCCAGACCAGCCTCAGAAGCTGGTGGGATATTCTAGCAACAGTTTTGCCAATTATCAAAGAAAGGAAGGTCCCACTCCCATTTATACGAAATGGCAGAGTTGCATTAAGCGAAACTAATTTGCATCTCAGCTCATTTAAAAAAGGTTTCTAAAGGAAAATACCAATATCGAGCATCCAAAATGGATCACTTTGGCAATACTCTCAATTCAACATTCTTATAAAAAAAAGTCTGAGAAAGGGACAGAGCAAATTCAAACAAAAAAAAAAAAACTTGTAATTCAAGCAAGCATCTTTTCACCCACTTGAAACGATCAAAACAAACAAACCAGTCTGGTCACAGAACTGCCTTCCACCACCTAAAATACACTACACATTTGGGATTTAGTATCCCAATAGGATCAGATGCAGACCAGACCAAAATTCCTTGCTTCTCTGGGTACAGCCTTTCCTGGAGAAAGGGATTAGAGACACAGATGGATGCAGGCATCAATTTGTCCTTCATCCCCATTTTGTCTTTCGGCATTCAGTCCGAGATGGGAAGACTCAAGAAGACCACTTAGCAGGATCCACATTGCTGGTTGCACGACGTTAGAGAATACTTCTGATCTAATGACAAAACATTGTAGCAATGTTTGCATGCAGCCTTGAAACACTGTAGCATGAAGAAACGTACCACAAAAAGAGAAGGAACTGTGACTTGGGAGGACACCCAAAAAGGTTGTTAGGTGCCTGTTGCGCTAAACCTTTCACAGCTGACTGGCTGTTTCAGGATTATCGCAGAGAAAAGCACCTCAAAACAACCTTCAACTCTGAAGTGTCTGCAAAGTTGGCCACAGGAACGACTCACGATTCCCTTTATTGGCCTTTAGTTACCATCCAGGAGGGAGGTTGGAATAGCAGCCTGATAGGGTCAAGAGCCAAGCAAATTAACAGGGATTTGATTCTCAGAATTGCCAATTTATATCCAAACAGCCTTTGGCTAATGTAATGTCCAGATGTGCTATGTTAACATACAGGTACTTCCTCCAAATAAGGTTAGAAAAAGGATTATATTGAATTTGTTGTGGCATATTAACAATTTTCACCTTGCATATAATTCGATGGCAGAGGCTGGACATACAAAAGACCAGTACCAAGTAGAAGCACAGCAGGTCATTCAGCTTCGGAGCAACAGGAAAGTCTTGGAGTCTTGACCCTTCATCAGGGCAACCCAAAACATCAACTTTCCTGCTCGTCCAATGCTGTCTAACCTGTGCTTGTCCAACTCCACATTTTAATCGACTCCGACTGCCAATGTCTGCAGTCCTTACTATCTCCTAGTTGTAAGTAGAACACTGCTTCTCATCTGAATGTCCCACTTAGCCACACAGTTGCCTTGATACTACTTGTTCAGTTGTCAGGATGACTACATTTGCTTAGCGCCTGGCTTTGTCACAAGAGTCCCTACCAACAACATCCTTTGCAGCAACAAGGAGTCGAGAATAGATTGCAATGTTCTCAAAACAACACTTGCAGGCCCCAATCTCAACTGAGCGGCATCGCTCTACTAACGTGACAGAACAAAAAGCAACTGTTGTGGGTCATGATCAAACGAGGGGTTCTCCTACACTGAACAAAAAAGATACAAAAATAAATCTGCTTTGCCACAATTTACAGATCAAGGGAAACAGATTCTTAAATTAAAAAAGAAAATTCTAGAGAAACGAGGAGAGTCTGGCAATATCTGCAGGGAAAGAAAATTTAGAGTCTAATAGACTCTTCTCTGGAAAGGGCTGGGCAAATGAAAGTTGGAGGGTACCTAGAACTACAGACAAAGGGAGTGCTAATAGTAGCAAAGGAGTGATAGAGATGTAAAATAGGTACAAGTGATAGGACATGAATTGGGGAGAAAATGGATCTGCCGAGAGCAGGGTCAAAAAGACAAAGAAGGCACGGCCAGGGTGAGGGCTGTAATGGATTGCAGATGTCATGTCCTCATGTTAAACTCAATTTTGATTTCTATAAAATGTCTAAAGAAGAAATGGCAAGCATACCAGGCCAAGGATCGAGACTAGATGCTACTGATATTCGGGGTCAGTCACAATTAGGTTTCTTGATACTATAGCGCTTTGTGCTTAAAATGTTTTTGGGTGGGCCAATATTATATAGTAGGTGGGAATTACTGACCATATCCATCAAGATAACTTCCTTCATTAAAAACCTGAACTGGCCATTTATGTAAAACAGCAAAACATTCCAAGATATTAACATCAGACACAAACGGAACTGGACATGCTCATAATCAATGTCCCGCCACAGTAACAAGATCAAAAATCAATGCATTACTCATTCCTTCGGGGATGATTGGGAGCGGGAGGGAGCAGAAAGCCAGCTCAGAAGTCGAACTATGACAATGTTGTCCCATTTCTGAAGAGGGACTGGTCCAACAATTGATTCAAGGGGAACCGGGAGGTATCTCTGGGCCAGAAAGTAAACTGCACAGATGTGCTGCCTATCACGAGGAGATTGAGTATGCCCAAGTGATATCAGCATACTCTAGGATCCAGGAGGGCAGGGGCTTCAATATGGAACGTGGGAGTAAGATCAATGAATGCTACAATAAGAATCCTCCCAGGTCTTTAAGAATAAGAGCTGGAGGGGGTGCAGAGGAGGTTCACTAGGTGGATTCCAGAGTTGAAGGCTGTCTTAAGAGGCGAGATGGAGTGGACTGGGACTATACTCTTTGGAATTTAGAAGAAGGGGTGGGGGAGAAATCTTATTAGAAACTCAAATTATTATAACACAAAAATAGACAAGATAAAAAGGAGGCTGGTTGTTTCCGCTGGCAGGTGAAACTAGAACTAGGGGACACAGCCTCAAAATAAGGGGGGGAGCAGATTCAGAACCAAGTTGGAGGAAATTCTTCACCCAAAGGGTTGTGAATCTGTGGAACTCCAGGCCCAGTGAAGCAGGTGAGGCTACCTCATTTTAATATTAAGGCAAGATAGATAGATTTGTGAACAGTAAAAGGAATTAAGTGTTACGGTGAGCGGGCAGGTATGTGGAGCCGAGTCCATGAAAAGATCAGCCACGATCTTACTGAATGGTGGAGCAGGCTCGATGGGCCAGATGGCCAACTCCTGCTCCTATTTCTTACTTTCTTTTTGCAGTCGAGAATGAATGTCAACTACAGGTTGAAATAAAAGAACATTAGAAGTCAAACAAACAAACTGCTTACAAAATTCCCGTGAAGTTTCAGGTAGATTGTTGCAGCCTGCTTTGGGCATCAGATTGAAGGGAAGAATTTCAGAAACTGGGAGAAGGTGCATGAGAGATTTGCTAGAAAATAGTACCAAATATGAAAAGTTTCCATCAATGCCAAAAAAAAGTTATTGAAGCTGGATTGTTCTCCTTAGAATGTTACCATGGTAGATTTGATAGAGGTTCAAAAAAGTTAGAGAATTTAGATAATAAAAGAGTACAACTGTTTTCAGTGCATTGGATTACAGCCCAGATGTTACAAATTTAAAAGAATCATAAGTGACCAAACTAGAGAGAAAAAGACGACATATGCCGCAGTTACGATCTGCACCGGAGCACATGGCCCAAAAAGGATATGAAACAGATTCAATAAAAGGAAATTGGATAAATACTTGTTGGGATTTAAGCTTTGAAAAAAAAAGGATTGGAGCGAAACTAATTGGAGAACTTTTCAAAACTAAAGGTCATCACATACAGGATGGGCCCAATAGCCTCTCGTGCAGTATGATCTTCCCATTTGAAGATTCTCACACTAATTGGTTATTTCTAGTTCGAACACAGTTACAATTTCAACACGGTAGATGATGTTGTCCAGCTTACCAGGGAGATTGTTACAGGGAAATTCAGCAACAGTTTGCACTGTAATTTATTTGCCACCCAGATCCTGGCAAGGAGCTAACAGGGCCTGGAGGAAATTATTCCACTTCCTTTGCCCATACATCAGGCTTAGTCAAAGACTAACGCAGGCAGGAGCTGAACATGACAATCTGCTCAGTTCAACACCTGCTGGATCCTCAGGAGGCTACACCAAGTCTCAGGGTGACGGTAATTAGATTCACACCAGGCAGTCTGGATCATAAAGAAACCGAGGAACGTTAGTGCAAAATCAGCCAAAGGGACAAAAGGCAATGGGGAGCAGGCAGGAGAGTAGAGTTAAGACCAGGATAAGATTAGCCATCATGTTAAGTAGCAGAGCAGGTTCAATGGGCTGAACTGCCTACTCCCGCACCCAATTCTCATGGACACTGTACACAATCCATTACTATCAACCTCCTAAGGAATTGTACAGTTATGTTCAAAGCCAGGGTTCAAATCCCACCTCCTCCAAAGCTGTCATGAGAGTTACAGTCAGTAATACAGCACAGAAACAAACTTTTTGGTCCAACTAGTCCATACCAAACAATCCCAAACTAAACCACAGGCCTGCTCCTGGCCCATATCCCTCCAAACCTTTCCTATTCATACATCCATCCAAATTGATTTTAAACATTGTAATTGTACCCACATCCACCACTTCCTCAGGAAGTTCATTCCACACACGAAAAACCCAGTGTAAAAAAAAAACATGTCTCACGTCTTTTTTTTTTTTTAAAAAAAAAAAATCTCTCTCCAGTCACCTTAAAAACGTGCCCCCGGTCTTGAAATTCCCCATTTTGTGGAAAGGGCATCTACCATCAACTCTACCTATACCCCTCATTATTTTAGAAATTTCTATCAGGTCACCTTTCACTGTCCTATGCTCCAGTGAAAGAGTCCCAGCCTATCCAGGCTTTGAGAACTCAAACCTTTCATTCCTGGGAACATCCTGGTAAATCTCTTCTGAACCCACTCCAGCTTGATAATATGTTGCCCATAACTGGGCAACCGGAACTGGACAGTATTCCGGAAGAGACCTCGCCAATGTCCTGTGCAACTTCAACATAACATCCCAATTCCTATACTCAAAGGACTGAGCATTGAAGGCAAGTGTGCCAAACACCTTTTAACTACCCTGTCTGTGTGTGACGGAAACTTCAAAAAAGAATTATGTACCTGCGCCCCGAGGTCTCTTGTTCTACAATACTACCCAATGCCCTACCATTAATTGTATAAGCCTGACCTTTATTTGTTTCACCAAAACGCAATACCTTACATTTATCCAGACTGAACTCCATCTGCCATTTTTTAGCCCATTGGCCTATTTGCTCAAGATCCCTCTAATCTTAAAAACCGTCTTCATTGTTTACAATGCCAATTTCGGTGTCATCCATTAGCTTACTAATCATACCTTCTATATTCTCATCCAAATCCTTTATATGAAAAGGCAGAGGACCCAGAACCAATACCTGTGGAACACCGCTGGTCACAGGCCTCCAGTCGGAAAAGCAACCCTCCACCATTACACTGTCTCCTGTCGTTAAGCCAATTATGTATCCAGTTGGCAAGCTCACCCTGAATTCCAAGTGACTTAACTTTACTAATTAGTCTACCATGCCTTGCCAAAGGCTTTACTAAAATCCAAATAAACAATTGCTACTGCTCTGCCAATCTTTTTGGTAACTTACTTAAAAAAACTCAATCGAGTGAGACACTATTTTCCTCACATAAAACCATGTTGACTAGCCCTAATCAATTTTTGCATCTCCAAAATGTTCATAACTCCTATCTTTTATCTCTTAATTTACGCACAACTGAGGTCAGACTCTCAGGTCTACAGTTCCCCAATTTCTCCTTACAACCTTAAAAAAGGTACATTAGCCACCCTCCAGTCATAGTTACAGATGCAAATATTTTTGCAAGGGGTCTCACTCCTGCCTTGCTTCGCACAACATTCCAGGATACATTAGATCAGGTCCCAGAGATTTGTACACCTTCATATTTTAAGACCTCATACTTCCTCTTCTTTAATGTGAACTATTTTTAAAACAATGTTTATTTCTCTGCATTCTCAATGATTTCTTTCTCCACAGTAAAAAGTGACATGAAATATTCATTTCGTATCTATCTCCTGGGGTTCAACAAAGACAACTCCTTGATCTTTAAGAAGCCCAACACCCTCTCTGGTTACCTTCTTGCCCTTAACATATTTGTAGAATCTATTTGGATTATCCTTACCTTATCTGCCAATGCTGCCCCACCCTCTATTCCTTCCTGATTTCTCCTAATAAATTTAGGAAAGAGTGTAAGGGTATTCTTAAGAGATTCAATTGAACCAAACTGTCAATATCTATAAAAAAATTATTCTTGACTAGAACCTCAATATCATTATTCATCAATTGTTCCTTAATCTTACCAGCCTTACCCTTCACTAACAGGAACAATATGTCTCCGAACTCTCGTCATCACACTCTTGGACGCCTCCCACTTGTTAGACACCCTTGACCTGCTAAAGGTCTACTCCCATCAACTTTTGAAAGGTGTCTCGCCATTAAATTTGCCTCATTCTAATTAAGAACTTTAACTTTTATAGAAGGCTTATCCTTTTCCATAACCATTTTGAAACTGATAGAATTACGGCTGCTAGACCCAAAGTGTTCCCACACTTTTCAGTCACCTGCCCTACCTTATTGCCCAAATGAGGATTTTGCTCCTTTTCTAGTAGGAGCATCCACATATTGATAAAGAAAATGGAGCATATTTTTCAAATTCTTCACCATCTAAACCTTTAACACTATAGTAGACCCAGTCAACGTTTGGAAAATTAAAGTCGCCCATTATTACAACTTTATTATGCTTACATAATCAGATCTCCCTACACATTCGCTTTTCAATTTCTCACCATTGGGGGGCCTATAGCACAATCCCAAAGTGATCTTTTTCTTATTTGTAATTTCTACCCATATATTTTCACTAGATTTTTCAGAAATCTTCCCTCATTACAGCTGCAATGTATTCCTTAATCAAAAACACCACCCCCCGACCCCCACCCCCCTCGCCTCCTTTTCTATATTTTCCGTTAGCATCTATAACCAGCAACATTGAGTTGCTAGTCTCAAACATCTCTCAGCCAAGTTTGCCATAGCCGTGATGTACCAATCCCATATTTTTAAACATGCCGAGCTCATCAACCTTACTTGTAACACACCTTGCATTGAAACAAATGCAATTTAGTTCTTCAGAGTTACTACATACTCCAACTGTCATCTTTCTTTTCTAATTGACATGATCTCCTCACATTCAGAGCCTACCCCATCAATCATTCCATTTACAGTGCTGCTTAGAATTCCTCCACTCACTGTCTCTTTAAAAAGTCTCCTTTAATAGAATGATCAAATCTCCCTGGTAAGATATTGGTCCCTTTCCAGTTTAGGATAGACCCATTCTTTTTGAACAGGTCTCTTCTTTCCCAAAAAATATTCCAATTTGTCCAAAAAACCTGAATCCCTGAACAATATACCAGCTCTTCAGCCATTGATTTATTTCCTTTAACCTTTTGTTCCTCCTGTCATTTGAGTCTGGCATTGGGAGTAAACCAGAAATTACTACTTTTAAAGGGTTTTTTTTTTTTTTTAAAATTTCACCTAACCTCTTAAGTTCACTCTGTACCACTTTAATCTTTCCCCTAAAAATGGCATTCCTACCAATGTGTATGATCATTTCTGGCTTCTCAATCTCTGAACAGGTTGATTTAGAAAAAGAGATGGTGCATTTTATAAAGAGCAAGGATGGGAACAAGAGAAAGGAGAAACAAGATGGGCTGACTGGCCTGCTTCTACACCTACATCTTATGGCAAGAGATTTGAAAAACCTCAAGGCATTCCAGTGACACTGAGAAGTTACAATATTACTTCTTGTGGGAAGTTAGGCAAGTTAATTTGGTTGCCAGCAGTACTCCAAAAATGGAAAGCATGAAGAAAATACATATGGTCCTTTCCTTCTTGACTTGTGAATGAATCCATTGATAGGATGAAGCTTCAAGCTGTTTAGTACTCACGTTTAATGCATTCTTCGCTGCTTCTGCTCCCGCTCTGCTGTCAAATGTAACAAAGCCAACTGGCTGGAAAAAAAAAAGCAAGGAGAGGAAACGAGAGTCAGGTAACTTTCATGCTAGAAATTTAAAATGCAAGTTACATGCCAATTAGTTTTGGGCATTAAACGGTTTCCAGCTTTCTGCAAGCTGAAATCTAAATCAACTGGCCACTGTGTTCTCCTGACTATGATCTAGCCCTCAGGTAGACTGCAAAACCTGAAGATTAAAGTCAGCGTTTAATCTGTAGGCACAATAATTGTTAGTCGGAGGTCTGAAGTCCTGTATCTGTCAAAGCTACATTTACTTAAAAATCAGAAGCTTGGAGTTAAAAGTGTTTTTCATGCAGTTTCAGGAAGTGAAATTACAATTTGTGCAACCTCTTGCCTTCTTCTGCCTATACACAATTATTCTTCTACCTCCCTAATCCACTGGCTTTCTCCAAAGAATAGATAACCCAGAGACTGAACAAAAACACTACGCCAGAAATCAGAAATAACCAAAAATGAGACACTGCATCTGCAGAGAGATATTTACCACTGATCCAATTAAGGCATGTCCCAGGTCACCTACCTGAGAAAAAAAAAAGTGAATACACTCTCCACAGATATGGCTGGGATTAGAGAGAATGTGCAATCTTTCCCATTCACACTGCGTCAAGTACACAGACTTGCACAAAAGTGTAGTTTTTCACGAGATTTTAGAATGATTATATTACATAAGCTAATATCCAAAAAAAAAAGGGCTTCTGACATGAGATTATACCTGGGTAGACTGATGATTAGGACACTCCCTGGGAGGAGTAACTCCCAGTTGACAGTACCAGGTTCAGGCTGAGCTTTCATGTAGCTAACTGTAATGCGTACTCTCTCAAGTGAGCCCAAGTTTCTCAACAGTACTTTATAGCGAGTTATACAAATGCCGATGTAACAAACAAGATTTTTTTTTTTTTTTTAAAAAACAAGATTAGGTCTCTTAACCAAAGATGTGGGCATTCTTCCCTACGTGGGATCAATAATGCAGACCAATAAGAACAATTGGTGGCAGTGAATTTATCCAAAACTGTCTCAGATGGTTCTGGTGGGCAAATTATAGTGACGAAACCACAGGTCACCAGCACCCTCATCCAGGTACAAGCAGGCTTCAGAGATAGCAGGAACTGCTGATGCTGGAGAATCTGAGATACCCCAAGGTGCAGAGCTGGATGAACAGCAGGCCAAGCAGCATCAGAGGAGCAGAAAGGCTTCAACTGATTTACCCTGGAAATTATACTAAACAGCTAGTGAATCAACTCCAGTTCATATCTTTGTCAGGCCAAATCACTTGCCAATTTTTGCATCTTGTTTCTTTTCCTCCTTCAACTGGAGAAGTCAGTACAGAATCATTACAGGTACTTCTATAACGCAATAGTCGGGTTCTTGGTGTGATCTTGTGCTATAGGGAAATCGCTATTGTAAAAAATGCTATGCTTTACCGTAGAAAGTTTGTTATCCAAACAACGTCCACTATTCAAATCGTGTTACAGCCAGTTCACATTAACAAAAACACATTTTATAGCAGAAATACCTGTATTTCGTTTGATTTGATTTATTGTTGTTGTTACATGTACCTAAATACAGTGAAAAGTTTTGTTTTGTGTGCAGTATAGGCAGTTAATACTATATAAAGATCTAGGGTGATTGAACAGAGGGAGGAATACAAAGCTACAGCTTTGCATCCCATCTACGGATTATTCTATTGATTGACATAAGTGAAAGAAATGAACTAAGCCAGTTTAAGAGCCTTGTAAATGGTTAAGGTCTCAGCAGCTAAATTTCCCAAGACTTCCTGGAACAGAAGGATCCAAACAGAGACACTAAAGCCAAGATTAGTGAGTTTACGCAATTGCTTTTAACATTTCCTGAAGTGAACTAACATTATTTTTAAAGCACTGGACAAACATCAGTTTGCTCAGTGGCCATTCATTATTTGGCGAACTGAACCAAAACTTGACCAAAAAAAGTGAAGGCTTCTCAAACTCCCTTCCTACAGTACTATAGGCATTCCACATTTATAGACTAAGGCAGCAACTCAGCTTTCAAGGCAAGAGATTTGAGCATCCTGCTGAATTCAAAGAGGAAGACAATGACTTTACCCCTATGATAGGAGCAGTGGGCAGTCTTCTGCAGACAGTCTGTCCAGGAGCTCGCATGAGTCGGCTCTTCCATTTTCCAGATTTGTTTTCGCCAAGTACACAAAAGTACCCAAAAAAAACTTAGACATGTTGCTTTTATTGTACAGTCAGTAACATTCAGGGCTAGGAAAATAGCACGTCAAAGTGAATTTCACTCATCAGTCCCTGCTGCCTGCACGACTGGCAGGGACTACGTTCCGAGCTGATCGCTCGAAGGCTAGGAGATGCAAACCAAACAAACTCGCTTACTCAACAGTCAGAATGCCAGTCTTCAGCAGCATCTTGGCTGAGCTCCAGTCTCAGAAGCTTGCAAGCTGTATCTTGGATCCCTCACTTCAGCAGTTCAGTTGGTATCTCAACTATCACAACCCATTGACTGGTTCTTGTAACGTTAGGTCCACTCCATGGACCAACGAAAGGATAAGTGCAGGTCTCTTACCTTGAGATGGTTCCAACTAATTTACTAGAGGTTCAATGATACTGTTTGAAGAGAAGGGGTCCCCACACCAGCTTCCTTCCTCAACCTTTAAAACATTCTTGTTGTTAACCAAAACAAGATGTGACCGCAATGTTAATGAAGGTCATGGCTTCGCGATGGCCCAACCTGTAGAACTCAATTTATAAACAGTATCTGTGCTCAGAAGAACCCATTTCCTGTCCACTGTCTATCAGGCACAAATCAGGAATATGATGCATTACTCCCCATTTGCCTGAATGACTGTAGCTCCAACACCATCATAGGCTCAACTCCAACCAGGACAAAGCGGCCCAGTTGATTGGCTTTAGGTGGGATGCCAACATTCGTGCCTTCACCACTGACAGTGGCAACAGTGTACTCCATCTACAAGATGCTCTGTAGCAACTCAAAGCTCCTTCGACATCATCTCCCAAACTGCCTAGAAGGGCAAGGGTAGCTGTTGGTCAGCTACACCACCTTCAACTTTGCCTCCAAACAACTCACCATCCTGACTTGGAACTATATCATCGGTCCTTCATTATCACCAGGGCAAACTCCTGGAAGTCCCTTCCTACAGCGTTGGGGATGCACCACAGGACATGGACTGCAGTAGTTCAAGAAACTAGCTCACCGTGACCTTTAAGGGCAACCAGAGATGGGCAAGAAATAATACAGAACTGTAGTTGTCCAATAAACGGAAACCAAAAGCAGTTTCCTGCAGGAAGGGATAACACAGCAGGCCAGGCAGCATCAGAGGAGCAGGAAAGCTGATGTTTCGGGTAGGGACCCTTTTTGGAAGAAGGGTCCTGACCCGAAATGTAGCATTCTTGCTCCTCTGATGCTGGCCTGCCGTGTTCCTCCAGCTCCACACTGTTGTCTCGGACTCCAGCATTGGCAGTTCTTGCTATTCCTGGAGGAAGTCAGGTTTGGCAGCATCTCTGGAGAGAGAACGTTTCAAGTCCAGCGACTACTTCAGAACTCTGGTCACTGGACTCAATTCTCTTTCTCCACATTGGCAATAAACGCTCATTTTTATTCATTGAGGTTTCAATGGTTAAAGTTGATCTGAAATCTAGTTTGACTTGTTAAACAAGGTTTACACACTGGCATGTGTCAATGTGGATGGAAATCCCAGTATGAAGATTATGGTCTTGTTCACAAACCCAGAGGTAAAATATGTTGGACAGACAACTGAAGGTCAACTGTTTCCCGAGGCAAATAAGCTTGTCAGAACTGCAGTAGAGATCAGAGGTTTATAGGTCTGAATGAGAGGGAAGCATTCAGAGATCAGGGGTCAAAATGTAGGTATCCTATATTTGGGGTGATGACAGTAGGACAGCAAGAGATTTAGAGACAAAAACAAAAAGTTGCTGGAAAAGCTCAGCAGGTCTGGCAGCATCTGTGGAGGAGAAAACAGTTAACGTTTCAGGTCCGGTGACCCTTCCTCAGAGATTTAGAGACCATAGGCAGCAGAAATGTGGCTGTACAATGTTCACTTTATCAACCTCTAGTCTTTAATTGCACTCATTGCAATAGTCAACTCCCAAAGACAGTTAAGAACCAGTTTATGGAGGCAAAGTAGCAAATAATCATTGAGGGAGGGTGGAAGTATGATCAGAAACTCAACCCCAGGTATTTGCTGATGTTGGAAGCACGCCACTTTCTTTCAGTTCTAAATTTATCTACAATTTTGCTCCACCATCTACAAGGCACAAACCAGGAGTGTGTGATGGAACACTGCCCAATTATTTGGTGAGTCAACGCCAACAATCGGCAGCTCCACAACAGCCTGGAAAAACAAAACCAAACCAGTCTGTCTGATTGACACCATACCCAAGAACATCTACTTCCTCCAACATAGACACTCAGTTGCAGCATTGTGCACACCACCTACCTAGTTCTTGGTTTGCTTGTGACTTCAAATGGGCTTAATTAACCTACATCATTACCACTTCAGTAGATATTCTCTGCCCCCACTCCCAATAAGCTTTCAGCATTTCAATTTTTAGCATATTTGGACTACAGTTACAGTGAGGCTTTCAGCCAAGTGGTACTAGCTGGATACAAAAAAATAAAACAAGCATGAAAAAACCACACACACAATGGGGTGTGGGCATTGTTGGCTACAGCACCGTTTCTTGTCCATCCCTAATAGCCCCCATTAAGTAGTGGGCCTTCTTGAACAGAAGTCAGCGTTCAGGACATCCATAACGCTGTTAGGACTCTGACCCAGAGTCACTGAAGGAACAATGATGTCGTTCCAAATCAGGATAGCGTGTAGTTTGTAGGGTAATCTGCAGTTGGTGGGTCCTCTGTGCATTTTGTCCTTCACGGTGGTGGAGATCATCGGTTTATTTTCCAACATTTATGATTGGAAACAGACTGGGCAATTTTGTACTG